CGTCCGGTATGAGGGTGAAACAGGCATCCCCCTACCCCGTCCAGTATGAACGCCAAATTACCAAATTTCGATACCCCGTCCGGTATGAGGCAACATTTACGGTAGGGTTCTCTATGTACTTGTTCCGTCCACCATCTCTAAAGATATCTAGTAAGGCTGTTGTTTCATCCATTCACTTAATTAAATAGTTTCTCAATTTTTTTTAATATTCAGCTTCTCAATTCAATTATAATCACATGAAGCAAACAATACATGCATTCAAACTATAAAATCAATCAATCAGGTATTATCATGTATTCAAACTGTAAAATAAATCAATAGCGAATACTTTCTGATTATGTCTCCATTAGTGACCTGTAATTAATAATAGATATTTTCTAAACTGCCCAAAATACTGTATTATTATTATTAATTAGACTTCAATTCCATAACAGAGAATAAGGTGATGGATTCTTACTCAAATTGATGCTCGAAATGCTAAACTTATTGGTTGCGCCTACTAGCGGTCCCCAAGTTTTCTAAATTTTTATTTGAGGATTAAAATGCGTTTTAAGTACTTAGAAATATCCTAAAAAATCTAAAATCAGTGTTATGACCCCTTTTTGGCCAATTCTGGAATTCCATAACGGTGGCTCCGCCGCCCACTATGGCACCTTGTCTCAGGTTAGCTTTTTTCGGCCAAATTTGGCCAATTTTATATCAATTCCTACGAGAAAATATGTTAAGGGGCCTCAGTTGGCCCAAAAAAATTGAAAAACTGAAACTCACCGGCAGCGGGGTTCTCTAGTGCAATGGCTCTGCCAGCTCATCTTTGCAGTTGAGTGTTTTGCTTCAGTTAACCTGTAGAGAAGGAAATGGTGATTACAATGGTGGAAGAATTACGTAGAACATAAATCGGGAAGAGCCTCATCGGAGGCGACTTTTGCGATTTCTTGCGGCGGCGACATCTGGCTTTGCCTGTAGTTTTCGCCCAATCCACCAGTTCTTTTTTTCTGATTTGGTCATGTTGGTGTTTAAAATCGAATTCCGAGCAAAATATAAAATTCTTACTTCTTTTGGTGGTCGAAAGTGGTTCCGACGCAGCGACGACGATCAGCTTCCTTTCTAGTGGCTGTGTTTTCTTCTCCCACAAGGGGTCTGGTGGCTAGGGTTAAGGTTTGGTGTGAAAAATGTTATTTATATTCATCCCCTTTTAATCTGAGTCATCCATCGCGTTTGATTTGGACCATCCGATCGCATTTAAATAGAAAGTGGGTCTGAGTTCATCGCGTTTAAATCTGACCGTCCGATCGCATCTGGGGAGAGAATAAATCTGGACCGTCCGTGTGCGCGGGAACGAATCTGGACCGTCCGTGCGCGCGAGAACGAATCTACACCGTCCGATTCTGGGGCACGCTGATCGCCCGCATGGCACCACATCAGCGTCCCTTGCCACGCGGCACGCTCCGGTTCGTCGAGGCTGCTGACTGAGTATTCTACGTAGCACAATTTTTTTAAATTACGTTTTAACTCCTAGTTTTCGAATTTTCTTTCAAAAATTCATCCAGAACCAAAATTTTCATATTTTTTTCCGAAAATTATTTTTAATTTTATTCTTCATTTTTACATTAATTAATAATTTAAAAAAAAAATTAAAAATTAAATTTTATACATTAAATAAAAATTAAAAAAATTATATTTATACACTAATTTAAAACATTTTAAAATTAATTAAGGGTATTACACACCCCCACTTCACCTCTAATAGTCAAGAAGTTATATAAGGATTTCACTACGAAAAAAGCATTTTTGTTCTATTTCCTCACAAACTGATCAGGATTAAGATTCGATTAAACTGTAACAGGGCTTCATGTTCTTCTAATTCTCAATCGCTGAGATTTTTTATCACATTAAAAATTTACTCCTTAATGGAGTTTTTCCCCTCATAAGCATCAATAACCAACATGTTCTTCAATTGAGCAGTGGCAAAAATCTATGGGAATTGATCATTTTGACGATCTTCTCCTAACCATTCATCATATCAAAAGAAAGTTTTATTTTCTCTATCCACTTTCTAAATGATTCTATCGTGAAATAGTTGATTTCTCATGTATATACTCTTCGGAACTCTATTTCAAACGGCGTTTCCGAATCTCTAAGCACCACAGTCCACCCTCCCTCCTCCCAATAACTCCCACCAAACATCCACCGCCTTCAGATAAATCTTATGAGGCTAAATTCGAAGCTTTCTTGATTATTATTATTTTTTTACGAAAACTAAAATTTAATATTTTTTTTTTTCAAAAAATTATATCAAATCAAACTTCAACTTATGGGATTAAATGGGTTGGGATGTAAAAAATCACAATGGCCTCGAGGAGAAGGAAGTGGTGTTTTTTTAAAAAAAAATTATTGGGCGTAGGTAGGTGTAATGGTTCGAGGACACAGAAGAAGAATTAGGGATATGGTACGGTTGGGTGAGTCTGCAATAAAGCTTTTGAGGGAATGGGTTTGGGCTTAGAGAATGGTATAAGTTTGGGTATTTGGGTTTTGCTTGAAATTGGAACTTGAAATGTCACTGTTCCACTTTTTCTTTTGCTCATTTTTTTTTTTTTTTATAAAAAATTTTATTTTCCATTATTGTAATTTTCGATACATAATTTTTAAATATAAAATAGTTAATTATAATTATAACATAATAAAATCACAAGAAATTCAATAATATTGAGAGTTGCCCTCTCTTGATAGATAAAAATTAACTAACCTATTTTAATAATGACATGTTTAAGAATTTAGAGTCTTAGTTGCAAGAATTAAAATATTATTAATCAAATTTAAAAAGAAACAAAAAAATTAGATACTATATTTTAATTACATTGACATAGAAGTTATAAATTTGTTATAGAAATAGTCTTCATATCTTTTAAATAATTCACGACTCGTATGATACATATATATATATTTGGGTGGAATTTGATGAATTTTCAATTAAATCAGCTATAAGTATTTTAAAGTCGGTCCAAAATTTGATTAATTTAAAACAATTTAAAGACCAGATACCCGTAACATCAGTTATTAATTGGGGGAGGGGTGTTGGATAGTTACTAGTAGAAACAATAAAGAGTTCTACCAAGAGGTCGGGGGGAAAAAGCACAATTGATTGATAAGGGCAATTTCGTAATTCCACTCCTTTTGCATATATCTGCTACTCGACAAACGAGGAGGTCGGCAACTGTCGGCCGATGAATCGGCGAGACAAAAGCGGCGAAAATTCCAAACTTGTTAATTCAAATCTTTATTTTAATTTGATCTACTGTCGAGGAGTTTTATTTTCTGAAATTTATCATATTTATTTTTTAAAATATTCTATTAATTTTAATTCTGAAAGTAAATTCATTTACTTTAATAAAAAATAAAATTATATGTTTATTTATGTTTAAAATTTTTATATAATACAAAAAAAAATTAGGTAGAAAATATATAATTTGGCGTTCATATAATCAGCATTGTACTGACACACTTTTATTATTTTATTTTTCTTGAAATATATAATTTTATATCCCTGATTTTTTAAATTTATAAATATTCCTTACCATTTACACCTGCTTCGAATAACCAAAGCCTCTCCCGGCTCTCTCTCTCTCTCTCTCTCTCTCTCTCTCAGTTGATTTCAATAACAAATTTGAACCTCAAAACCTAACTGTAATGAGATGGCAGAGAGATCTTTTGAATCCTAAGTCCTTATTTGATTCCGATGTTTTCCGTCAATGTTCGTTTACGAAGCCTCCTTGGCTGGTATTGATTTTTCCGGTACGTTTGACTGCAAACCCTAACTGAGATTTCCTGTGTTTTCTCTATTTTTCTTCCTCTGTAATGCTTTTATCGGGTACGAACTTGGTAGGATTCTGATTTTTTTTTTTTTCATGTCCGTCATTGATATTTTTTTTTTGTCTCTCATTTCGTGATGGCTTTTCACGTTACTGTTAAGTGCCAAGTGCTCTCTTTGTTTTCCATCGCGAGGTTCTATTTGTTTTTTTTTTATCTGTTTCTGTAATATGTAATTAGTGTTGCTTAAATTCTTCCATATCTCTTATGGATTAGGACTTAGGATCTAATCTCGGAACGTTGTTTTCGAAAATCTATTCCTTTAGATTCGTTCTAAAATCAAAATTTTGGAAAACTGGAGAATTTTTAGATATTTAATCTGATGTCGAAACTAAATGCTATATTTTGTTTGAAATACGTGGTTACTGTGCTTCGTAGCAATTTTATTTATTCTTTTTTGTTTATGAATTCTTATTTTTGCGTCTCTGAAGAAACATACGGAGCCAATGTTCTCTCAACATTGTCGTTCCTTGTTAGTCATTGACTATGATGTCTGGATCGACTAACTCCTGATAAAAATTTCAAAGAAAGCCAGTAGATGGAAAATTTCTTCACTTCTCTTTCGGAATGGAATTAATTGAAGCAATTTGAAGTGTTTTCCTTTTCTTTTTCTCATTCCTTTTAATTCGTATAAAAAGATACTGTTGATACACACATCGATATCTTATTTGCTTATGATATTACAGTAGATATTTGTTTCCTTTTTTTTTTTTCAATTTCATTATTGATAATTTCTATTTTCATTCCCTGGCTGATCATGTTATAATATATCTGTTGCAGCCGCTATAGATTCGGATTTTAGTTTTGCGTTGGAGGTTGAATATGGATATTACCGAGGTTGAAGAAAATCTGTTTGCTGCTAGCGATGCCAAGGTAGGAAAAAGCAAAATGTTGTGAATTTGAGAAAATAAAAATTGTTACTTTCATGTGCTTATCTCTCTTTTTAAACATTAAATTTGAAGTGCTTGTATTCCATGAAAAAAGTCTTCACATGAATGCTACTTTTTATTATTTCTTTGTATGAATTAGAACTCTTGGTTTTCACATGTACTGGACATGTTATATTTGAACCATTCTTAGGCTCATTCTGTTTATAATTGTTAATGACTGTTAGACATGGTTATTTTTTGCTTACTGGGCTTTGGTGGCAATATGTATCTCCCATCGGTTTAAACTTCCTTTTGTGATGTTGCTTTCAATTTTCTTTAGTTCATTTTGCTGTTTTTAGAATGATAGAATCCATGCAACCTTACAGGATCCAGTGCATGTTATCTTGATGATATTTTGACGTGTAATTTTTCTTGTGGCTATTGTTAATGGTTGTGCAGTTACATGGAGAAATGTGCAAGGCACTCTCGGGAATTTATTGCAAAGTCGTATCAATCTTCCCTTCACTGGAAGCAGCACGACCTAGGAGTAAATCTGGCATTCAGGCATTGTGTTCATTGCATATAGCACTTGAGAAGGCAAAAAATATTCTGCAACACTGTTCTGAATCCAGCAAGCTTTACTTGGTAAGAGCAATTGTTACATTGAAGAAAATATCCTGCTCTTTTCAATTTTCTTCCTTTGGTGTTTCTGAGGTAGATTTCCGTGTATGAATTCTTTCTTATAATGTAGGCTATAACTGGGGATTCTGTTGTATTAAAGTTTGAGAAGTCAAAATCTGCACTTATGGACAGCCTTAGGCGTGTGGAAGATATTGTTCCGCAATCAATTGGCTCTCAGGTAATTTTTTCTTCTCTGCTCTTCATTTCTTTACAAAGCCTTTTATCACATTGAGTTGAGCAAAATAACATTTCAATGATGTTGAAGGATGTTGATACAAAGATAAGTTTTCCTGGCAGTAGAAAAGATGGAAAGTTTTCATGATTGTTGGAAACTACAAACTTTATAGAAGTTGATCGTTGCTTGCTTGCTCGACAATTCCTAATTTATCATAATACTCCTCTATATCT